GAGGGGGAGGTAGGGAAGAGAGGCTGGGGGAGTTAGGGCTGGGCTGACACAACTTGAAGCAGCAAGGCGGCCTGTGCTGGTCCGAGAACTTGAGTGGGGACCCTGCTGGGTGGTGGGAGTGTGCACTGGTCTGATTCTGCTGTGAGGGCCATGGTGGAGGCCAGGGTGAGGGTCTTGGCCTGTGAGTTAGAAATCATATGGGTTCTGTCATACTCTCAGTGCTGACTGGACATTTGCCCATGGCAGGTCAAGTAGGATAAATTATCCTATTAGTTCAACAAATCTTTGGATGCCTGCTATTTTCCAGACACTTCTGAGTACAGTGGGAAATAAGACACCCACGTGTGTCCCAATTTGCACAAACTTACTAACTTTTATACATTTACTTAGAAAGCACGCACAGGAAAGAAAACACGAACAAGACAAATAGAAATAAGTTCTCCTATTTCTTCCCACACTTCAGAGAGTACTAGTATTTGTGTTTCAGACGTCCACCTCCACTGTAATTTTGGGAAGTGAATCAGTTTTGCGTTGGGGCTGCCTGTTGGAGGTGTGAAAGAGGAAGCAAGTCAGGCAGATGCTGAGCTCATGTAATTGGTTAGCACGTGCGTCTCAGCAAGGCCCGCTGGCCACCATTCTTTCCCCACTCCGCTCTCCTTGGCAAAGGTACCCAGGTTGCCTGGGGTGGGTGTTGAAGGTTCTTGCGCTTCTTACCCTGACTCTTGGCCCAGCAAGTGCCACTTTTCTTCTGGGAGCAAACGTGGGCTCCAGGTCTTTGCTTCCTTCTGGGTCCACGATGGAAGCTGCACTTGGCCTCCTTTACTCAGGCATTAGCAGCCCAAGTGCAAGGCCATTCATTGCCCATGGGGTGGGGAGGAGCTAGAACACTGCAGACCTCTCCAGGTTCTCTTAAGCTTCTGTTCCCTTGGCCGGCTCTCCTGTGGCACTGGGCTGGGGCAGGGTGGTTGGCTCGGGGTCAGGAGCCTAGGGGACTGGCTGACATGCTCCCTCCCCATTCATGTCTTCGGAGGCTGCTCCCTTTCCTTCCCTTGCACAAGAATTGGGCTTTCTGCCCATGGGAGAATGGTTGTCTGTATAGATGTTGGTCTCCTGCTCAGACAGAGACCCCAGAAAAGGGCTTTTTTTCAGCGGCCTGGGGTGAGGCCTGAGATCTTGCAGGTAAAACCTGGGAAATTAATCTCCTTCAGGCTTGTTCCTTCGGGGCATTTACTTAATTTCCTAGTTGTTCATCCCAGGCCCGACCCCTTCGGTTATAATAGTCAGTGTCTTTATAGCAGTTCTTGATCTCCTACTGCTTTTGGGCTCACCCCATCCTAGCAAGGAGGGAGAGGAATCACATATGATGACACAGCAGGAAACAATGCTGGGCTAACATTTATCTGAGGGCCTGGAAGGTCGAGGGAGACAGTGCTGAGCCGGAGCTCCCTGCCCCTCCCCTGCAGGGGCTCTGCCTGGCTCCTTCCTGCCCTTCCTCCCCGAGGAACCAGCAGCCTTTGCGAGTCTCCTTGACAACAGAATGGATAAGTTAAAAATAACTTTGTGCTGGGGCCTGTGAGTGTGTGTGTGTGTGTCTGTGTGTGTATGTGTGAGCGATGCACACAGGCACATGCCTTCTTGCCTGCTGTGCTCAAGCTCAGCCCCTGTGGCTTCTAGATGCTCCCCGAGAGCCTCTGTTGGGAGCCCTCTGCGGCCATGCCCAGTACTCTTTTGTTGAAGCCCCTTGGTTTGGTTGTCAGGTCTAGATAATCACTCAGCAACCTTACCTCTACTGATTGTTACAGATGGGGTGTGGGTGATAATGTTAAGATAAAGAATGGAAAGCCCTGGTCGATGTGGCTGGATTGGGCGTCCTCCCATGCACCAAAGGCTTCTGGTTTGATTTTCCAGGTCAGGGCACATGCCAGGTTGCTTGCGGGCTCTTTATCTGCAACCTGGGCATGTGCAGGATGCGGGGGCGTGGGGGTGGGGAGGGTTGTGTGTGTGCAGAAGGTAGCCGATTGCATGGCATCAATGTTTTTTTTTCTCTTTCTTTCCCTCTCCTTTTTCCTTTCTCTCTTTTTTTAAAAAAAGATAAAGAATGGAAAGCTGTTTTGAATGCCTTTGTCTTCCTTCAGTCTCACTGAAAAGGGATAATTTGGGAAATGCTGCTTTGTTTCAGAACTTCTCAGGGTGGTAGAATGGGACATAGTCATGGGTGGGAGTTTGGTTGTACCTCTTCAGTTAACCCCCACAGGAAAGGAGGGCCTTTTCTGGACCTCTTATCTTTTAAAAATAGATTTTTATTGCTTTCTGAGAAGAAGGAAGAGGGAGAGATAGAATCGTTGATTGGCTGTCTTCTGCATGCCCCACACTGGGGATCCAGCCCACAACCCAAGCTGGGAATTGAACCATGACCTTCTAGTTCATAGGTCAATGCTCAACCACTGAGCCACGCCAGCCAGGCTGGGCCTCTTTTATAAGGAGAGGATACTGAAGTCCAAAGGCACTTGTGTGACTTTCTGTGTTTGCGAGGATGCTCAATCGACTGAACAACACTGGTCAGGGCTTTCCATTCTTTATCTTAACACTAGAGGATGCAGGCTGGGCTGAGGGACACACACACCCTGTGCACGAATTTCGTGGTGTGTGTCCCCCTCAGCCCAGCCTGCATCCTTTCCAATCTAGAATTGGGCCTAACCAGGCAGTCAGACATCCCTCTCACAATCCAGGACTGCTGGCTCTCAATTGCTCACCTGCCTGCCTTCCTGTTGCCCCTAACCTCTTCTGCCTGCCAGCCTGATCACCCCCTAACCACTTCCCTGCCAGCCTGATTGATGCCTAACTGCTCCCCTGCCAGCCTGATTGCCCCTAACCTCCCTCCCCTGCAGGCTTGATCGCCCACAACTGCCCTCCCCTGCTGACCTGATTGCCCACAACTGGCCTTCCTTGCAGGCCTGGTCCCTCCTAACTGCTCCTGCTGGCCATCTTGTGGTGGCCATCTTGTGTCCACATGGGGGCAGCCATTTTATGTGTTGGAGTGACGGTCAATTTGCATAATCATTTTATTAAATAGGATAGAGGCCTGGTGCATGGGTTGGGGGCAGCTGGTTTGCCCAAAGGGTGTCCTGGATCAGGGTGGGGGTTCCCTGGGTATGGGGTGGCCTGGGTGAAGGGCCTGTGGTGGTTTGCAGGCCAGCCATGCCCCCAGCAACTCAAGCAGAGGCCCTGGTATCTGGGATTTATTTATCTGTTATAGTTGAAACTTTGTAGCCTTGAGTGAAGGCCAGAGCAAGCCAGGGCAAGTGGAAAGCTTGGCTTCCTCCATTGCTGGGGAAACCCAAGCTTCCTGCTCGCTCTGTGGCTGCAGCCTTCTTGGTTGGGTAATTTGCATACTCACTACTGATTGGCTGATGGGCATAGCTTGTGGGTGCAGCAGAGGTACGGTTAATTTGCAGATTACTCTTTTATTAGATACTCTTTTATCAACTGCACGCCATCTGTAACAATCAGTAATATGAAGTAAGGATGCTGGCCCAGCTGTGGAAGAGTAGGAGTCTTCAGGAAGTATAGATAGCTCTTTTCCTCAGATTCGAGTAATGAGACCATCTCTACAGGTCCTTTAGCAAAGCCAGTGTCTCTTGTATGAGCAATCTCAGACTAAAGGCCTTCGGTTTTGCGGTGTTATCACAGTTGCAATTTAATTTAGAAATACCTGTTTCCCTGAGGGTAGGCGCTGGGTATCTCTTGACCATACCTGGAATTAACTCCCTGCTTCCTTCTTCCATCCTCCTATCCATTACTAAGTATTTCCCTGTGTGCCAGGCATGGGATGTTGTGAGAACAAAGTGTCTTGGTTCCCATCTTAGGGAGCAATAGACAGTTGCGAAGATTGCCTTGTAAACCCTCATTGTGGCCAGTGCCCAGAGGGAGAAGGTCTGAGCGTTAGAGGGAATGACTGGGGTGGGGCTGGGGTTAGAGAAGGCTGGGAGAACACATTAGTGACACAGGACTTAAATCTGGGATGTGTAAAATATTCCTAAAATCAATGAAAGGAAGGCAGAAAACTCAGTAGGAAATAGCTAGTGACTTGACAGACATTTCACAACAGAAAGTATACAGATGGCCAGTAAACATAAAAATGGTTCTCAATTTCATATATTTACTAGTTTGGGAAACTCAAATTTCCCTAATTTAAACTTAAATATGGTTGCACACATATATAATGGAATCTTTAAAGATGTGTTAAAACATCCTTTTGGCATTTCTAGTTTATTTAATTTTGAATTTCTTACTGAAAAAAATAAAAAATAAAATGGATTCCAAGATGCTTGAATAAAAGGAAATCTAGTGGGATGAACAAACTTAATTCAGAAGACCTGGGCTAATAGGAGATTTGGGGCCAGCCATGGAGCTGCTCATAGTCTGGGTCTTCATTTGTAAATAGGGATCTTTTTGTTTCTTCCCTTCCTTCCAGTACTGCTCTTAGGTCCACAGGTATGGGGAGGGCTCTAAAAGCTATGAAAGGCTATGCAGATACAAAGTAATATTGTTGTTACTGTCTAATTCTATGTGATTTGATTTCTCACCCTCCCTTCTCACAGCCACTATGCTAAATTACCTTAAGAAATAAAGGAAGGATCCTCTGAGAAGTAGGATCAGGAATGTGGTCCAATGAAACCTAGTCACAGCCCCTTTTTGCATTCTTTGGATATGAAGGAGCCCCTCTCTCCCTCTTCTGGACTATTCTCTGTCAGGCAATGGGCATTGTGTAGACAGTGGCTGTTGCCCATCCTCCTGAGGTGCAGGTGCATGTTGCTCAGCAGCAGAGAACGGGCCACCTTGGCACATGTCAGAACTGTCAGGATCGCCGAGTCCCATCTGCTATGTCACCTGACAGTGCCAGGTCCTCAGGGCCAATTTGGGTCTTTGCCCACAGATCTCCTATGATAGGCATGTTTTTCATGTTTTACCTTTTCCCCCTCTGTTTTGTTGCTGTGTAGGAGTCAGAACCAGAAGTAAAGGCAGATGGAGAGACTGCATCGGACAGTGAGAACCGTGCGGAAGCTGCTCCCCTAGTAACCTCTGCAGACGATACCCCGGAGGTCCTCAATAGGGCCCTTTCCAACTTGTCTTCAAGGTAACCTGGAGTAATGATGCGGGTGCTTGTTGGAGGCCTTGTCGCCTGTCCAAGTGCCATGGAAGTCCCAGGCCCCTCAGAGGGCCCACAATCTTGGGGGAGTCCACTCTGTCCACTGGCATTGCCATAGTCGCCCCTGCCTCTGCCCAGGGCTTCATTGAGTGTCACTTTAACAGCAACTACGAGCACAGCCTGGAGGGGTCTGGCATTTGAAAGGTGCTTTAGGCTGGCTGGGAGGGGCAGTCCGAAGAGGACAAAAGGGTGGACTGTGGGGTGGTGGTGGACAATGTTGCTGACACAGCACATGTGGAGAAATGGTCCCTGGGGTTTGACTGATGGGTGGACTGCTTTTCACAGAGGAGCCCAAGTTTGTAGTTCAAAGTTTAGTTTTCCCTTCTCCCTGCACGTCCTTGTGGACATTTAAAAATTCTCCTGGAAATCGGTTGAGTCCTGGGAGGTTCTAGAATAAAAAGTTAATTGAGAAATGTCTTAACTTGGGTGAATCCAGGGTGTAATTCTGGTTCCTGAGACTCTGATCCCTCCAACACCAGCTATGTGGGTAGGTTAAAAACACAAACCATAAGATCCCAAAACATTATTTAAACATGTTTCTGTGGTGCCTCCTACACATATGTCCTTTGAAAAGTGGTATTGTGCAGTGGTTCAGGGCATGGGTTCTGGAGTCAGCTTCCAGGGTTCCATTCCCAGCTTAACCACTTCACAGTTGTATGGCCTGTGCACCCAGATCCTCATCTGTAAGAACTAGTAGTGTTGAGGGCTGAGTGAATTAATATACGTAAAGTCCTTATAAAGGTGCCAGGTGCATATTTGTGATACCTGTTATTATCACTGTTTAATATTGTTATGACCACAATGATGCAGGTGGCATAACAGATGGGACTCACGGCGATCCTGACACATTTCTGACATGTGCCAAGGTGGCTTTACTGCAAGAGCAACATGCACCTGCACCTCAGGAGGATGGGCAACAGCTACAGTCTACACCATGCCCATTGCTTGGGGTGAGGCATTGGCTCTAGCAGCCCTGCTCCCACCAGCATGTGGCTAGTTTGTTGTCCAGGTGAAGGAGGTGCTCCTGGAAGGCACTAACCTCAGGCCCTCTCCTCCCAGGAAGAGCCACCCCTTGGGTTTGTGTTTCAGTTATTGCTGGGTTCCTAACGTGCTTTCTCCTCCCCTCCTCTCTAACCTAGATGGAAGAACTGGTGGGTGAGAGGCATCCTGACTTTGGCCATGATTGCATTTTTCTTCATCATCATTTACCTGGGACCAATGGTTTTAATGATAATTGTAAGTGCCACTTGCATACTGTTTTAGTTCTACCTTCAGTTTGTCATGTAGGATCAGCCATCTGAAGAGCCAGGTGCTGGGTTAGTTCTGGGACTCATCTGGGGTCCAGGCTTCACAAAACATTTCTTTTTTAAAGTATCTGTGGCTTCTTACTTTTTAGCAGGCAAGTGGAGGGACATTGGCCTAGGCCTTTGCTCAGCAAACTGCGGCTCTTTGGTCCCTTGAGTGTGGCTCTTCCACAAAATTCCATGGCCTGGGCAAGTCTATTTTGAAGAAGTGTCTTTAGAAGAAGTTTAAGTTTAAAAAAAATTTGGCTCTCAAAAGAAATTTCAGTTGTTGTACTGTTGATATTTGACTCTGTTGATAATGAGTTTGCCAACCACTGGCCTAAGCCAGTTGTATGTGGTTAAAAATTCCTCTTCATTTAATTTAATTTATTTATTTTAAAAAAATATATTTTTATTGATTTCGGAAGATGGGAGACTGAGAGAGAAGAGACAATCATTGATCCGTTGCCTCCTGCATGCCGGACACTGGGAATTGGGCCTGCAACGTCGGCATGTGCCCTGACTGGGAATTGAACCGTGACCTCCTGGTTCATAGGTTGATGCTCAACCACTGACCTATAGCCAGGAGATACCTCTTCATTTTAAAATTTGATTTTATTATTTCAACTGTTTGATTATATTGTGACTCTTGACCTGACTGTGATTCTTGGTTTTGTTTATTGTTTTCCTGGAGCATAGATGTTGGGGTTTTTGAGTATTTGTATGCAAAGTCAAAAAGGGAAGAAATTGATTGAGTCCTGGGAGATTCTAGAATAAAAAGTTAATAAAAACTTTAGAAGCATGTTTTTATTGTGAGAAATTGGATCTATTCTATGTGACATAAAAGGCTACCTTGCCATGTGGGATAGTGCGAGAGAGAAAAGGCTGAATCATTGAGGGATTGACATTTTCCTTAAATATAAATGTGTTTTTTGAAGTCCCATGACCTGTTGGTTTCTGTTTCCAAAGATCATATCAGATGGTCTAATTCTTGTGTGTCCTGCAGGTGATGTGTGTTCAGATAAAGTGTTTCCAGGAGATTATCACTATTGGCTACAATGTCTACCACTCCTATGAACTACCTTGGTTCAGGACCCTCAGCTGGTAAGCTCTCCAGCCCCTTAGGGACCCGTAACAGATTTGGATGATAGTGTTTTGTGGTAGATATTTACAGTGGTGGTGGGTGGGAGAGGAGTGATGGCCACAGACTTGCATAGCACCTTTGAGACCCAAGTATTTCATAGGCCTGGCCTTGAAGGAGTCATGTTAGATTGGGCAGTTTTATGAAGAAAATGGTGTTTGAACAGTGAATGGAGATAAGTGAGGGGGATGTCCAGGCAGGGAAGAGACAGGAGCAAAGCAGATAGGTGGCAACCTGATAGGCATGCATGCAGGGTTCCTATTAGAAAGAGTGGAAATAAGACCAAGAGGCAGGATCAGGCATGTTTTGGAACCTTATCTTAGGGTTTGAGTGTTCTCAGGTTAGGTATAGAAACTCTACAAAAGGAGCAAAAACTGAGTCCCAGGTTTGTGATAGATGGAGGGTGAATGAAAGCTGCCGTAAGTTTCTAGACAAGCTTCTCACCTCCAGTGTCACTGAGAACAGGGGGTCCTGAGGGTGGGGGACTGCTCTTCTGGTCCTTCCTCTGGTTCTTCGACAGCCTCCCTGTAAGGACAGGCCGCAAGTGCTCCCCACCGCAGTGACCTGTCTTCATTTACAGGTACTTCTTACTGTGTGTGAATTATTTCTTCTATGGCGAAACAGTGACGGATTATTTCTTCACTTTGGTCCAGAGAGAGGAGCCTTTGCGGATTCTAAGCAAATACCATCGGTTCATTTCCTTTACTCTCTACCTGATAGGTATGCATTGAATGGCTCGAGAGTTCTGGCTTTGTGTGTCCACTGAGTACGAAATGAGGAGTTTCTTGGTTAATGTAAAGCTCTGAGGATGTTAACCCTGATCGTGCAGGGGAGCAGAGCTGAGGGCTCTGCCTTAGTGAGCTGTGGCAGCTCATTAGTGAGAGATGTGGGACTGAGCGGCTTTGTGGGTGTGGGGACTGCAGTCGGTGCCACCTGTCTCTGTGTTGCAGCCTCCGTTGGAAGACAGCACAGCATGGTCCTGTCCAACTTCCTGCGGTGTGACCAAAACAAAAGCCACCTTTTCTTTTTCTCTCCCAACATGGATTTATTAAAATATGGAAATTTAAAAGTATTATATTATTTGAGAGGGCATCTAGAAGGCAGATTATAAAATAATACACTATTTTTATACATTCATGCTTATGTTTTCACATTAACAAAATTGTAATAGGACATAAATTGTATCCAGAAAAGCCACCTGTTTTAATAACTTAAAAGACAGCCCTCCCCAAACACCCCCCCCCCCCAAAAAAAAAAAAGTGGAAATAGTCAGCCATCTTTAGGATTGTCTTCTTAGAAGACCGCCTTGAAGGACAGGCATGCAGGGTGGTGGAAATTTTACTGATATGGATTTTCATAGACTGACTTCAGAGAGACTGGAAGCTTAGTCATTCTGAGTTTCAGTGAGCTCTTTTTTAATTTTTATTTTTAAAAAATATATTTTATTGATTTTTACACAGAGAGGAATTGAGAGGGATAGAGAGTTAGAAACGTCGATGAGAGAGATACATCAACCAGCTGCCTCTTGCACTCCCCCCACTGGGAATGTGCCCGCAACCAAGGTATGTGCCCTTGATCGGAATCGAACCCGGGATCTTTCAGTCGGTAGGCCGACGCTCTATCCACTGAGCCAAACCGGTTTTGGCAAGTGAGCTCTTTTTTAATCTAGAGCTAAAACTGTGGACTTCCTGAGGGTTAAATCGGATACATTAAAACTTGGCAGATAGCCGAAACCGGTTTGGCTCAGTGGATAGAGCGTCGGTCTGTGGATTGAAAGGTCCCAGGTTCGATTCCGGTCAAGGACATGTACCTTGGTTGTGGGCACATCCCCGGTAGGAGGTGTGCAAGAGGCAGCTGATCGATGTTTCTCTCTCATCGATGTTTCTAACTCTCTATCCCTCTCTCTTCCTCTCTGTAAAAAATCAATAAAATATTTAAAAAAAAAAATAAAACTTGGCAGATAGTGAAGTGCTAGTCATTTAAACTCAGTTCAGACTGAACTCTCATTCTTTTAGTGCTGGTGATTTTCATAGCTGCCTTTAAGGCTGGTTTGAGGCACCTGAGAAAGTTTTTCTGGCCTAAATTTGTCTGACCTATTTTTATTTTATTTATTTATTTATTTAAAAAAATATATCTTATTGCCGAGGCCAGTTTGGCTCAGTGGATAGAGTGTCGGACTGCGGACTGAAAGGTCCCGGGTTCGATTCCGGTCAAGGGCATGTACCTTGGTTGCGGGCACATCCCCGGTGGGGGGTGTGCAGGAGGCGGCTGATTGGTGATTCTCATCTATGTTTCTAACTCTCTATCCCTCTATTTCCTCTCTGTAAAAAATCAATAAAATATATATTTAAAATATATATATATATGTCTTATTGATTTTCCACAGAGAGGAAGGGAGAGGGATAGAGAGCTAGAAACGTCGATGAGAGAGAAACATTGACCAGCCGCCTCCTGCACACCTCCCATTGGGGATGTGCCCGCAACCAAGGTACATGCCCTTGACCGGAATTGAACCTGGGACCCTTCAGTCCGCAGACCGACGCTCTATCCACTGAGCCAAACTGGTTTCGGCTGTCTGACCTATTTTTAATTAGCTCTGAATGACACCTGAGTATTAAGATACAAAATTCGCTGCTAAGGAGTCTGTAGACATTGAGGATATTCAAAGGAGGATATTCAGAGGATATGCAGAGATTGAGGATATGCCTCAGAATCTGAAAGCAGCCCCCCAGCGGGAGAGCATAGCGATGTGGTCTCTTCAGGGCAGAAGTGCTTTTGAGGGGCCTCGCGCACTTATGGGTAAAAGTCCTTTTCCTTTCTGGAAAAGCGGGTGGAGGATAAAGATATTTTTTGCCACCATATGCATTAAAGACAGGGGTGGCTTCTTACTCCATACCTGATGGATCCTTTGTTCACCAGACCTCTTCACTGGGACAAGGGTAGAAAACTTTTTCTTAAAAGTCCGGATAATCAATATTTCAGACTTTGGAGGCCCAGCGTCTCTTTTGCAACTCCCCAGTTTGCCCTTGTAACACAAAAGCAACCACAGACAATATGTAAACAAATGGGTATAGCTTTGTTTCAATAAAATTTTAGTTATAAAATCAGGCAGCTGTCCTGACTTCTTTGCTGGTGCCTGCTCTAGGATCAACGTATTTTTATCTGGTGAACAACAGCCAAAATTTATTGAAGTCTACAAGATTTAAAGATAGTGCCTTCCTTTGATTGTCTTAAAGGAGTCATTTTTTCCCCTTCTGATTGCTATCTGAAGAATCAGTTTGTGTCTTCTTCCCCCCTCCTCTTCCTGGGGTTTGGGATTGTGCACTGATTAGATGCTGCCAGGAAATTAGCCAAAGGATCACAGTCACGATCATGTACACAGCTAAAGGAAAGAACTAGAACAAAGGTAAATGCAGAATGTGATTAATTTTGCTCTTTCTCCTCCCTCCTTAAACCAGGATTCTGTATGTTTGTATTGAGTTTGGTCAAGAAGCATTACCGTCTGCAGTTCTACATGGTAAGGGAAATATGTGTGTGTGTGTGTGTGTGTGTGTGTGTGTGTGTGTGTGTGTGTGTGTCAGAAGTCTTGGCTTAAATGAAATTCTATAGAAATTCAACAGGTGTTTCATCTTTCCTATAAGAAATCAAAGCTCAGGTGCAGTCTGTTCTGTATGTATCTGGAACCCAGGGCACTAAAGAAGAGATCCTGTTTGGCAACTGTACTTCCACTTACTAGTAGACCAAATCACTGTTACTTAATTTATATCAGTTAATTTAACTAATTTCTCCACTATGTCCTGAAGAAGGTGGGCTCCAGGTAAGGTTATAGGTAACACTGTTACTAGAAAGAGACCGGGACCAACCCAGGTCTGCCCTGGCACAATCTGGAATGTTTGGGTTCTTGACTTCATATAAGAAAGATTTCACAATTTTAGTCAAGGTGATTTTGAGAGTAAATTTATCAGAGCTGCGGAGAGTGAAACAAAGGAAGGGCTTAAGATAGAAAAGGCAGCACCAGGAGTTGCCTAGACACAATAAAGGAAATTACAGTAGCAGAAGTGGCAGAAGTGAGCCATGCTGGGCTGCATGGACTCAGGAAACAAGTTACAGACACAAAAGGAGGGCCCTTGGAAATAGGTTCAGGGGGTTAGCCCTGGATAAGCTGCCCGCCGTTCCCCCGGTTGCAAGTCTCCTGGGGATCTTTAGAGCTTAAGAAGAAAGAAAGCAAAAGTGCACACCTCAGGAAAGAAGAGGCACAAGCATGCTCAAGGGAGAGTGCACACTGTCCTTTGTCTTAAGTGTTTTTATCTGTTTTTCTGTAGGCAGGAATTTTAGGGGGAGGTCTCATGAAGGGTCTCAACAGAATAGTCAACAGTTCTCCAGGTGTGTTCTTTAGTCTAGTGATGCATCAAAATGAGCATATAGGAAGTTTGGGTTCATTTTCTGGTCCGCTTCACTGGTTTATTTTTTATCTTGGATTTGTCTGGCTCTAATTTTTGTTTGTTTGTTTGTTTTGCTATTTATCCTTCTGACTTCATCTATTTTTGGGTTTGGCTAGCCCTAATGGCACTATCTGGATCTCTGTTCTCTCTCTCCTTGCCTATTGTGATTTAAGCTACTCACTCTTTGGTTGGGGAGAAGTGTAAACCATTTGCTCCTATGTGTCCTCAGTTAGGGGAGATAAGATCTTGGAGTTTATTAGCAGACCTTATTTAACATTGCTCAGCCGTGTTGAACTATTTGTCTCAATTTCTCCACTCGCCAAGAAATTTCCTCCTTTCTTAGGATCCTGCCTCAATGCCTAAGGCATTGTTCACAGATATCTTATATCACTTTCTCAACTGGAACACATTCCTTCTCTGAGTGCCCCAGGCACTCAATACATACTTAGAAGTACCCAGGCTTTCAGAGGACTTACTCGTGAGCCTTGTGGTCCTGACTTGATGGGGACTGTAGCTGGGGGACAGAATTTCTCCCAGAGGCCTGTTTTGTGCCTTCTCCCTTCTAATAAGAGCAATTATCTTTCCTACCTGTTTCTCAGCAATTTTCTATTTGGTACTGCCTATTATTTGAAGTTCCTTTTAAGGTAAACAGATAGGTAAAGTTAACTCTTTTTCTTCTTTTGCAGTTTGGCTGGACCCATGTAACGTTACTGATTGTTGTCACCCAGTCACATCTTGTTATCCACAACCTGTTTGAGGGAATGATCTGGTGAGTGATGAGAGAATTTTCCCTTTCATTTAGTAAGTGTTTCCAATGTACAGGTGCCTTCCCTTCTAAGCCAGTGATTCTCCCCTTCCGCTGGTTACAACACAAGTTGCTGAGCCCCACCTCTTGAGTTTCTGCTTTAGTACACCTGGGGTGGGGCTTGAGAATTTGAATTTCTAGTGCATTTCCAGGTGACGCCGGTTTTGCTCGTCAGGACCTACACTTTGAGAACCACGGTTCTAGATGAACAGGTATAGGGATATTTAAAGAATCAAAGATAATGCAATTGTATGGCACCAATTTGAAATCTTAGAAGAAATTTTTATGACTTTCTGGCAAAAAGTAAACTACTAAATGTCATGAAGAAGAAAATTTGAATAGATTAATAACTATAGAAAATAACTGGATAAAACAACTGAATTTTATCTTGCCCTTAATACTAAAGCTGATAACCATGTGGAGGGATGCGAAAACTGGTTTGGCTCAGTGGATAGAGCATCAGCCTGCAGACTGAAGGGTCCCAGGTTCGATTCCGGTCAGGGGCATGTACCTTGGTTGTGGGCACATCCCGAATGGGGGATGTGCAAGAGGCAGCTGATCCGATGATTCTCTCTTATTGATGTTTCTAACTCTCTATTCCTCTCTCTTCCACTCTGTAAAAAATCAATAAAATATATTTTAAAAAACCCCACAAAAACAAAAAACATGTGGAGGGAGAAACAAAAATGACGAACTGATTTCTTTTATGATTATAGATAAATCATTCAAAATAAACTCTTAGCAAATGGAATCTGACAATGTTTCAAAAGAATGTGTATGGTCATGTGGTGCTTAACGTTTTGATCAATGATAAACACATACACTATGGTGGCCCCAGTGGAACTGAAAAATTCCTATTGCCTAGTGAAGTCGTAGTGTGATGCATCACAGATACTTACCATCCTGTCTAATAAAAGGCTTTTAAGGTGGGGATTTGAGGGGAAATCTCAGTAAGATATTCATTCATCAGCTTTCCAGGTGTGTCCTTCAGGGTAAGGGTCTCTACTGATTGATCAGTGCCAGGCCGGGGCGTCATTAGTCATTGCAGCCGGTCCTGAGGTCACGTGGCATCATTTGTTTGGTTTTGCTGCTTTTCTGCGCCTGGAGTTGAAACACAACTGAAGCCTAGATGTATTTGGTTTGGGTCAAAACTTCATTGTCCTGGAGTCTTAATGCTTAAGGGCTACCACATGACTAGTAACAGGCCAGGGCAGGAAAGGTCCGAACCGCAAAGGTTAGGAGGTCTGAAGTGACCACGTGACCAGTGATACGCTAGGGGAGAAAAGGGTAGAGGAGGATCTTGTTTTCCCAGTTTGCCTGTTGTTGGGCACCCAGGGCTTTCTGCCCTGATGACCATCTGTACCTGGCCCATTGTCCTTGCTCTACTCATGCCTGTCCAACAGCCTTCCACAGTTTCAACAGAAAACCTTTCAGCATTGATAGAAATGAGCAGGCTGGTTGAAGAAGCTGGAGGGTCTTGGTGAAGAGGTGTGGTGTGGCCTAACCTAGGTATGTTAGAGAGGTACTAAAGTATTGTGGGTAAGACTCCAGGCTGCGCTTTTGTTTCCAGATCTCAGAATGAGGTATAGTGTCTCCCATCTCCTGAGGAATAAATTAGTAAATATAGGTAAAGTGCTTGGAACAAAGACTAGCCTACATAAATGTTATGGGTATTATGGTTAGGGCATACAGCTCTTTCCCTTTCTTTCAGTTTCTGTTAGGTGTTTCTTATCTTTAGGGCCAGATATACTATTTGTTTCTACAGTGAGTAATACAGTTATTAAAATCTCTAATTATTGGTTTTTAGACTCAACCTATAAGACTTAATTATAGCTGCAGAGCAGAGAGTATGTGCTAGAAGCCTCCACCAAATAAATGTTGTGGGGGTTGGGAGAACACAGATGCTCTAATTCCCTCCTTAACAAACAGGAAGTCCAGAAATGTTGCTTATAGTTAATGGACCAGGAAATTTATGCATAAGTCTGTAATAGAGGAAAAATTTAAAAAGTGACTGTTAGAGAGTGGAGAATGAGGAAAGGATGGTGATGGCACAAGTGTGGAAATTATGCCTCTTCCCCCTTCCCCCCCACCAGTTTCATGATGGGGATGACCAGACCAGCAGGGGAGGCAGGGAAGAAACCCAAGTGTGTGTGGATGTGGTTTTACCCTCAGGATAGTCCTAGGGAAAGGGAGGGCTTACTACCGTGTTTCCCCAAAAATAAGACATCCTTTGAAAATAAGACTTAGCGCAACTTTGGGAGAAAAAATTAATATAAGACACTGTCTTATTTTCGGGGAAACAGGGTAGATAGAGCTCCTAGTAGTACATAGTAAATACACTGAGTGGCCAGATTATTATAATCTCTGAATGCATAAGAGTGTATATGTGTGTGTATATATATATATATACACACACGTGCGCGCGCGCGCACACACACACACACACACACACACACACACATATTAGAGGCCTGGTGCATGAATTCATGCATGGATGGGGTCCGGCCAGCCTGGCCAGGGGGAGGGGACATGGGCAGTTGGCCAGCCTGCTGCTGGTTGAACTCCTGGTCGAGGGGACAATTTTCATATTAGCCTTTTATTATATAGGATATACACTGAGTGGCCAGATTATATAGTAGTACACAGTAAATACACTGAGTGGCCAGATTATTATTATTCAGTAAACATTTGAATGCCTGCTATGTGCCAGGTAGTAGGAAGGGCTTGTTTGGTATTTTATTTTTTTAAAGTTATTTCTGTCCTGGTCGGGTGGCTCAGTTGGTTGGAGCATCTCCTGTACACCAAAAGGTGGCGGGTTTGATTCCCAGTCAGGGCACATACCCAGGTGATGGGTTCCATCAAGTTGGGTGCGAGTGGGAGGCAGCCGATGGATGTTTCTATCTCATACACCTCTCTCTCTCTCTTTCTCTTTCTTTCTTTCAAAACAATAATAATAATTTAAAAATCTATTTAAAAAAGTTATTTCTTAATGGGTAACAAGTACTCTGAGTTATTTTGTTCAGTATTGGAATTTATGAATGGTAGTATTTTGTGGACTTTTGAGGTATTACTATTTCGGTAGTGATTATCCTTTGGTTTATTTCCTAGGTTCATTGTCCCCATTTCTTGTGTGATCTGTAATGACATCATGGCCTATATGTTTGGATTCTTCTTTGGTCGGACCCCACTCATCAAGGTAAATAGATCACCCTAACATGAACTATCACCATAAGTGGGGAAGGGTGATGCTCTCAATACGAGTAGATCAGCTTGGGAAACAGAGGAGGTCTAGCTGGTGTGTTTGTCTTCATGCCATCCTGGAGAAAGGTGGTATTACATTAGTTTTAAAGTAAAAACAAAGGTAAACACTGACAGTTACCCACAAGAAAATAAAAAGCTAATAAAGAAAATCCAAATATCAAAACTTCAAAAACTAAGAGAAATGGACAGAAGCAGAAAAGAGAAAATGAGTTGCCCAAATGCAAAAGATTATAGAAAGAAAAAAAAAAAAAAAAGAATAAAGACTAATATACTTGGTGCCTAAGGAAGAATAGAATCAAATGTAAATTTAAAAAGTTATATTGTTTTATGAATAATGATCTATTTTGAGTTAAAATTTTTCTTTTATTTATTATTTATAAATTCTTTATTATTTTCAAATTCTTTTATTGTTAAATTCTTTATTTTTTAAGTATTATATATATCTCCTTTTTCCCTCATTGATTTCTCCCAGCCTCCTCCTGCCCGCCCGCAGCACAGGCCCTTACCCCTCTATTATCTGTGTCCATTGGTTATACTTATATACATGCATATAAGTCCTTTGGTTGATCTCTTATCTCCCTCTCCCTCCTCCCCTGCCTTCCTTCTGATTGAGTTAATTTTTATGTGATCTGAAATTAGGGTCCAAGTTCATGTTTTTGCACATAAATATTTGTTTATACCAGCAAAAAATAAAATATTTTTATAGACAATATAAGCATATTTTGGGGGCTTTGATATGAATTTGAGTATTGCTCTTTAATTAGTATACTGTTCTTTAATATAATTAAATGATTTGAATGACTACTTCAAGAAAGGAAACTGAGGGGAATCAATCAGGTAGGGAACAAGGAAACCAAGTATGGAGGTATTTTAGAAGGTGAGGTGATTAACAGAGTTTTAACCAATATTCATTGTTCCAAAGCCAAAGATACCAAAATTCCCTCTGCTAAGAACTTGTTCTCTGTCCACAGCTGTCGCCGAAGAAGACCTGGGAAGGCTTCATTGGGGGCTTCTTTGCAACTGTGCTGTTTGGCCTTCTGGTAGGTGGTGGCTCTCTGGTAGGTGGGGGAGTGACAGAAGCCTCATACCCATCTTTGAAGCTTATCCAGAACTAGAGGGCATGTCTCCCAGGGCCAAGGACTCTGTCCTCCTGGATGGGGACTTTGCTCTGAAGAGGGGCACCGGCATGGCACACTGTAACTGGCACAGGGAGCACCAGCCGGTCTTCATCTGCCAGTTTTCAAGCAGGGTCTTGGTAGTCTAGGAGCAGGGGCTTCTCTCTTGCCGATGCATGCAACACTCAGCAGGTGGCGCTCTTGTTCAGGCATTTGCTATGTCAAGGTCTGGGTGATTGGCACTGACGAGTAAGGGGTGGGGTGAAATATGCCACTCCAGCTCAGATTTTCTCTTTTGTATGCCCGGCTCATAGTGGATCATCTCCCAGTACTTTTTTTTTTTTTTTTAAATATATTTTATTGATTTTGTACAGAGAGGAAGGGAGAGAGATAGAGAGTTAGAAACATCGATTAGAGAGAGTCATCAATCAGCTGCCTCTTGTACACCCACTACTGGGGATATGCCTGCAACCAAGGTACATGCCCTTGACCGGAATCGAACCCGGGATCTTTCAGTCCCCAAGCCGACGCTCTATCCATTGAGCCAAACCCGTTCCGGCTCCCAGCCCTTTTAAGAACACCATTCCCTGCTCTGACCCAGACCATTCTCCCCTTTGTGTGTTGTCCATCTGTTCTTTAGTGTTAGCTTTTTTACCTTAATGCTCTTCAATTTTCTTCCTCCTGGCTGCCTGCCTCTCCCTAAATAGTTCCCTCACCTCCTGCCTCCAGTGAGCACTAAGTTAAGAGATTCTGAGAAAATGGACTATAGTTCTCCAAGTGGGTAGAAACTTCTTATAGTTCCTTCGCCACATACCACATTTCTCAGGTCTTTCCTGGATTCAGTCAGCACAGGAACATTTGAGCAAGTATGCATGTTTGCAACCTCAAGAGAGTGTGGCCTCCCTCCCTTTGTTCAGGTAAAATGGTTAAACGTAAACCTCTGATTTTTAAAAAAAAATATATTTTATTGATTTTTAACAGAGAGAAAGGGAGAGAGAGAGAGCTAGAAATGTCGATGAGAGAGAAACATCGACCAGCTGCCTCTTGCACACCCCCTACTGGGGATGTGCCTGCAACCAAGGTACACGCCCTTGACCGGAATCGAACCTGGGACCTTTCAGTCTGCAGACCGACGCTCTACCACTGAGCCAAACCAGCTTCGGCCTAAACCTCTGATTTAGCGCGTGGCTTGCAGTTAGAGGGTGCTAGGCACTGTAAGGGACGTGGGAAAACCAGGTGTCTGCTGCCCAGGCAGGGTGGCCGAACTTGTCTCCTTTGCCTGTCTTTGTTTTTCATCCTCAGCTGTCCTATGTGATGTCTGGGTACAGATGCTTTGTCTGCCCTGTGGAGTACAACAATGACACCAACAGCTTCACTGTGGACTGTGAGCCCTCGGACCTGTTTCGCTTACATGAGTACAACATTCCTGAAGTGATCCAGTCGGTCATTGGCTGGGTATGTGCCACTTCCGTGGAGGGAACTAACCTCAGTGGGGTGGTGACTGCAGGAGAGAGCCCCCTCTCCACTACTCAGAAAAGCCATCTTCCCTTCCCCAAAGTTGTGGCCCCAGGATGAAGGAGAATTGTTAAGTCTGTTTACGGTGAGGACAGGAGGAGACTTTTCTTCCTACTTCAAATCATTAGGACCAGTGATTCTCCAAGTGTGCTTTGGGGATTCCTGGAGGACCCTAAGATCCTTTCAGGGGGTCTCTGAGGTCACAACTATCCTATATAATAAAAGTCTAGCGACTGAATGGCAGAACGACCAGAATGACCGGTCGACCAGTCACTATGATGTGCACTGACCACCAGGGGGAAGACACTCAATGCAAGAGCTGCCTCCTAGTGGTCAGTGCACTACCACAGTAAGAGTACCGCTTGGCTGACCAGGTTGAGCAGCTGCTCCTGCTGCAAATCCGGGGCCAACGGGCAGGAACCCAGGCTGCTATTGTTGCCTCCTTGCCCCAGGTTCCTCCTCCTCGCTCCCTGCCCCCTCTTTCTGACGCCTCCAAGCTGCACAGTGCCACCGCTGCCAGGTGACCCCAGAGGCTGGGAGGTGGGTTCGTGGCCACTGTGGGACTGAGGACTACTCTGCTGCCACTCAGTGCTATTGTCCCTGGGCCTGGCCTTAACTGAGTCCCCTGGAGAGACAAGTGGCTCCACAGAAGATGCTGGACCAGAGAGCAGCCACTCAGAGGGCGGGTCCACAGCCACTCCACTGACTGGGATGAGCAACACTCCCATAGCAGGCTGATTCCCACAGGCCACCCCCCTTCCAGTGCACAAATCCAGTGCACTGCGCCTCTAGCTTTTATAATAATACTGTGACATTATTTGCCTTGTCCTCTTTGTTGACAAAAGCAGTGGTGGGTAAATCTGCGGGTGACTTAACATGGGTGAAGGTGGTGGCACCAAACTGGACTAAATCATTGGAGTCTTCATGCTACACCCTCTCAATAAAAATAAGCCAGTTCCTTTTAAGGGTGTCTTTGGTGAAATAGTAAAATTATTTATTTTATTAAATTTTGACCCTTGAGTACACACCTTTCTAATACTCTTTATACCGAAACAGCATAAAACACTTCTGCTGAATACTGAAGTACTTGATTACCTAAAGGAAAAGTGTGTAGACACTTCCTTAACTTATGAACTAGCTTAGCTGGTTTTTAAAAATTTTTAAATTTATTTTTGTTTTAATTTAAAAAAATATTTTTTATTGATTTCAGAGAGGAAGGAAAAGGGAAAGAGAGATAGAAACATCAATGATGAGAGAGAATCATTGATGGGCTGCTTCCTGCATGTCCCCCACTGGGAATTGAGCCTATAACCCGGTCATATGCCCTGACCAGGAATCAAATCATGACCTGGTTAGAGGTGGATGCTCAACCACTGAGCAACACTGGCTGGGCCTAACTGCTTTTTTTTTTTCTTTTTAAAATATATTTTTATTGATTTCAGAGAGGAACAGGGAGAGAGAAATAGAAACATAAATGATAAGAGAGAATCACTGACTGGCTACTTCCTGCATGACCCCTATTGGGGATCAAGCCCACAACCCACTCATGTGCCCTTGACCAGAATCGAACCAAAGACCTTTCAGTCCCAAGGCTGATGTTCTACGCTAGCTGCTTTTTTATAGAAACAATTTTTACTTGAAAAGAACTGACAAACTATAGTGTTTTAGACTAGATAGTTGACAGACATTTTTCTTGAAAATGAATGAAATGAGCATGTCACTCCGAGGAAAAGAGTTGATAGTAATTTTTAACACTGATAGAATGTGGCTTTCATGTGAATGTGGAATTTTAGAAAGTGTGTGCCTTCTATGAGCTTGACAGCATCCTAATACTTAAAGGGTTTTCTGATAAGATCTGTGTTAGCTTTAATACGTAATGTTTTGACATTGTATAGCTAAATGTGCCTTCATTTGAAAGGTTGACATAACTCAGTGAATGGATTCACACAGTTAGGCATGGGTAAAAGATCCATTCAGAGTGCCAGATAGACCAGTGGATTTTAATTTAAGAGTATAAAAGAAAATTTCAGATTTTACATTGCATCAGATTTGTAAGGAACTACCACTTATCAAATTCTGGTGTAGTATCAAAGAATACCCGTAATTATCTGAAAAGATAATGCCAAAATACTCTTTCTCTTTCAACTACATATCTGTGTAAGGCTGGATTTTCTTCATATACTTCAACCAAAACAATATATCAAAAAATTAAATGCAGAATATCTTAATGTCTTCTATTAAGCAGACATTAGAGATTTTTTTTAAATCAGTCTTTTTACTAATTTTATTTTTTGGAAGGGTGGTGGGGGGGAATATAGTTAATTGCATAAAGAGTTACTTATGTTAACATGTAATAAGCCTGGCCTGTAGGCATCTTGACTTTTATTTCATTTATTTTTCTCAGAAAATCATCCGGATGTACCCTTTCCAGATTCACAGCATTGCCCTTTCCACCTTTGCCTCGCTCATCGGCCCCTTTGGAGGGTTCTTTGCAAGTGGATTCAAACGAGCCTTTAAAATCAAAGTAGGAAAACCCTCTGTTCCTCTCATTGTCAACCAGCCAGGCCCTCCTTCACCTGTCTTCTGCCTTCCTCCCCTTTCCCCACCCTATCAACTACAATCTCTTCACAATACTAGGCTATTAATGTGTGCTCTCACCCATGCACAGAATTTAGGTAGCTTACATAAAAAGATATTGTTTCTGGGAAAATTCAATAGTTGGATTTTCCATTTATTTGTCAATATCTTACCTCTTTCTTAAAAACAACATTTTGTAACTTGAGATTGAGTCAGTGCTTGCTTCTCACTTAGTTTCTCTCAGCTGAGTAGCTGGACACTGAGGTGGGACCACAGGCCAGGGTTTGATCTTGGCTGAGCGAGACTCACCAGTTCTTCTCCTGCCTCTCACAGGACTTTGCCAATACTATTCCCGGCCACGGAGGCATCATGGATCGCTTTGACTGCCAGTATCTGATGGCCACCTTTGTCAACGTGTATATCGCCAGCTTTATCAGGTACCTGCCTTTCCCTCTGCACCAAGTTGGTGGATTTTTAAGATTGGGTGAAACTCTAGAATTGTAGCTATATCTCAGTTTTAGTGAAGAGCGTTCTAAATATAAGTGCAGTTTCCCATTGCTACTCTTTATGTATGGGTTCCCGAGCCCCTCTGCCCTTTAGTAGAGAATCCAGAGGTTGAAGCAGCCACTTGGATAATCAGCCCTAGAAGTTGCTGGGCCCCCTCAGTGCATTTCATCGCATTCTCTTCCAGGGGCCCGAACCCAAGCAAGCTGATTCAGCAGTTCATGAACTTGCGGCCAGAACAGCAGCTCCACATCTTCAGCACACTCAAGTCTCACCTGATCGACAAGGGGATGCTGACAGATACCACGGAGGACTAGTAGGGGCCACGCAGGGCTGAGAGCAGGACTGAGCGCGGGGGCGGGCACCAAGGCCAGCCCAGCTGGTGTGGCTGAAATGATGACAAGGCTTCAACTCGCTGTCTTTTTTTTTTTTTTTTAAGAGTGTTTTTTTATCTGTGGGTTTTTTTTAATTTTTATTTTTAAATCTGTATATACAGTCTATGTGCTTATGATTTGGGTTGTGAGTAAACTACAGCTTTGAGTTGGAAAGAAGTCATGAGGGTGAAACTACTTGGGTTTTTTACACAGAAGTTTTAAAAACATGGAAGACAGTGTTGCCCAGGTACTTCTGGTCTCATCAGTTGAACTGGGCTCCATCAGGGAGTGTCTGTTCCTGTGTTCCGACCCTGTCGGCGTCCTCCATACCTGTACTACCCCTTCTCCCCAGCAGGAGGAGGTGCACAGCTTGGATGTCTTTGCCAGGAGAGCTTTCACCCGAGCTGCTCTGTAATCCTGCCTGGAGCTACAGGGGTCTGCCTGCCGTGGGCCGGAGGGACAAAGGCTTATTCTCAGATCAGCATTCTTTCCACGTGAAATCCTGTGGAACCTGAGCTCTGCTCTAAGATATGGGTTCACCTTATTTCACCACAGACTGAGAAGTTTTCTCGAGAGAGAGCACGCAACATTATTTATAATAGTCTGGTAGAAAACACCACACTGTCATATTTCAAGTGTATACAGTAGCCTGTACTGTAACTGAGCCCCTTCCCCCACGTTTAGGCTCATGGCTCCTTGGGGGCAGTCCGCTCACTGTCTTTTCAGGGACGATGGTGTTCATGCTTGTGCTGTGGACTGGCTGCTGCTGAATCCTCTCTGGGGCTTGGCCCTTAAACAGGGGGCAGAGGGCTTCTCGTTTGTGCCCCTTTGCCTGACTGACCACCCACGTAGCTGCTGTATTGTATATATTTAACTCCTGAGGCCATTGTGTATTGTGTATGTTTTAAAGATCACTTATTTCTTATAGTGATTTCAATTGCCAAGTCTTCTTCACTGAAACCACAAAGTCCTACTTAAAACTCTGGAAAACCCAACCCAATTAGAGGTTAGACTATTCTGAAGATTAAATGCACACTTTTTATATAATGTGACCGGTTAAATGTAGCTTGTATTTTACTGGGGGACCTTATTTTTTAAAAAAAACAACAACAACTGCGATCTACTGTTTTCCCTTCTTAATGATAGGAATGAGACTGACTTCGGGAAGCGGGTACAGGACAGAGAACTTGGTGCCACAGTGTGTCCAGTTGTTCTGTGCCACGGTTGTTCTCACTGCCAAACGAGCGTGACGGCTTGCTTTCGCACCTGGCTTGGTGCTCGTCTGTTTTGTTCCTGTTTAAATCAGCCTTCCTGCCTCCCTGAGCTTACACGCAGCCCCGATCCCGGGAGCAGACCAGACCACTCGACCTTCCGCACGCATGCAGCATTGACGGGCCTTTCTTCTGAACCTTCACTTCCATTTCAGCAATGGCTCCTCTTTCTCAGGTCCACTTCCCCCTTAAAAACATGTGCTTTTGTGTTGCATGGGCTTTCGTCCCGGCCGTGGACGCCGGGTGTTCGGGATGCAGCCCTCTCCCCGCTCTGTTTTCTGAGGTCTTATAACTCCAGTCTTCCGTGACCCTGGCTTAGCAAGGTCGTGTCAGCAGAGGCAGCTGTGGGCAATGAGTCATGTCCTGGGCCCCCCAAAGTGTGTTTGCTGATCTTTTCTCAATGTTTATTCTTAAGACGAGGCAGTGTCTCAGCAATGAATTAAGGTGGTGATTGGGAATGAACCTGGTTTTCTTTTTAAAAAAAATATGTTTTATTGATTTTTCACAGAGAGGAAGGGAGAGAGATAAAGAGCAAGAAACGTTGATGAGAGAGAAACATCGACCAGCTGTCTCTTGCACACACCCCACTGGGGATGTGCCTGCAACCAAGGTACATGCCCTTGACGGGAATCGAACCCGGGACCTTTCAATCCGCAGACCGACGCTCTACCACTGAGCCAAACCGGTTTCATCAACCTGGTTTTCTTATTGAAGAATGAGCTTGGTCTCCTGAACTGGGACAGGAAGGCACTTCCTTGTCTCGTGCTGCCCCCTGTGGGCACGGTGGGTCCTTGGGAGCAGGTGCCTCGGTGGGAGCCCAGCAGCAGGCGAGTCACTCAGGGCTGCGTTTGGGATCAGGGTGCCTGGCACGTTTGTCCGTGGAAGAGGTTGCTGATAGGCTTTCCGGAGCTCCGGGGGGTCCTGGGAAGCTGAAGGTGGTTGCTCACCAGAGCTGCCAGCAAGGATGCCAGGGGGTCAGCTTGGGGTTTTGTTTTTGGAGTTCTCCACGGGGGCAGTCTGGAAAGCAGTGTCTGTGTAGCACAACGTTTTTCTTTCTTCCATTTATTCGTGATGTTTCATCCTTAAGATGAGATTCAAGAGACTATTTTAACACATACCAGTGCAGATCTTAATGGCACACTTACTTCAGGTCCATTTTGTGTGTGTGTGAAAAACAAAATGCAACTGAAACTGTGCCCGCCCTCCTCGCGAATTCAGTTCCTTCCTCCCGTGCATGGCTTCATGTTCCCCACTTGATTTGTATTCATAAATGCTTTGCCAAATGCCATGCCCGGTTTAGAGATTTTTGTTTTGTTTTCCAGTTTGAATCCTATAGATTTTCATAACGACCTTCCGAGGCACCTCGATGAGGGCCACGAGCACCTTGCTGTGAGGAAGTTGAGGGCCAGAGGGGAGAGAGATTCCCAGGGTCCCTGGTGGGCTCCAGTCTCCATCGTAGCATCTGCCCGCCAGGACAAGGACTGGGTCGTCCCAGCCCCACCTGCTTTTGTGAACGTGGCATAAGTGCATCTGAAATTTTGCACCATTTCTTCCCTCAAGCTTAGGAGGCCTGACTTGTGACAGGCTGGAGCTTAAGTTGCTGTTAGTTCATAAATAGAGATATAAAGGAGCTGATGAACCAGGGCGCTACAGCAACCAGGGCTCTTTCTGCAGAGGGCTGAGCCGGGGCACCCTCACTGGTGAGTTTTTAATTGTTGAGAATATTACAGATGTGCCTCCCCCCTGCCATTTCTCCCCTTCACCCTGCCCCTGCCCTTCCCCACGCTACTGTCTGTGTCCATGGGTTATGCATATATGCATATACTAGTAAATTCTTTGGTTAATCTCTTGCCTTCCCCCTATTTCCCCTTCCCTCAGAGATCTGTCAGTCTATTCCATGCTTCCATGTTTCTGGTCCTATTTTGTTCGTCAGTTTATTTTGTTCATTAGATTCCACATATGAGTGAGATCATGTGATACTAGTCTTTCTCTTTCTAGCTTATTTAACTTAGCATAATGCTCTCCAGTTCTATCCATGCTGTTACAAAGAGTAGGGTTACTTCTTTTTTTACTGCTACAAAGTATTCCACGGTGTGAATGTACCACAGGTTTTTTTTTAATCCACTCATCTACTGATGGGCACTTGGGCTGTTCCCAGATCTTAGCTAGTGTAAGTAATGCTGCTATGAACATAGGGGTGCATATATTCTTTCTCATTGGTGTTTCAGAATTCTTAGGATATGTTCTCAGAAGTGGGATCGCTGGGTCAAATGGCAGTTCCATTTTTACTTTTTTTGAGGAACCTGGTGAGTTCTTCTTGTCACTACTCACAGGACACCCAAGTCTTTCCCTCTGTGTGTGCATGCCGCCTCAGTATCACAGACGTACACACGTTTTACTCCTGCAAGTAAAACCTTTTAAGGCAGCCTGGGCCTTGTTTATGTTTTTGATTTTTTTTGAGGGGGGGGCAGTTTTATATTCTGAACCTTTTAGTATCTACAGTGTAACTATATTTAAAACATTTAGAGTTGTACAATTCTATAATGTATGTTTGAAACTAGTGTCTCTGTCAGAAGTGGACTTTAAAATCACGTCAATGATATTTATCTTTTCCCACCGGGCCCCCTATCCTGTAAAGTGACTTATATTATGCAAGAAGATTCCAAAGGTATGTTTTAAGGGAGCTTAAGCAAACCCTGTGATTTGAGTCTAAGCTAGTTCCCAAGTAGATCCTTGAGTTCAGATCTTCAGACTGTCAGAGTCCTGGCAGGCCCAGGAACATCCCTGGTGCGGACGGGTGGTGGGGAGGATGTGAATGACTCAGGGCAGAGAGCACCACTCTCGGCAAACTGCACAGTGGCCTTGCTCCCTGAGAGGCCTGCCCAAGGTCAGTGTTGGAAGGGAGTGATTTTTTGCTACCAGTGTGATAGTCATTGCTAGAACTTCTTCCTGTGTCACCACTGCTTTTTTTTTTTTTTTTTTTTTTTTTTTTTTTTGGTAACACACATTTGTGTCCACCTTGTGATTATGTGGTGAGAGAAGGGATGAGGTCACTTGTACCGAGGGTTCCTGTTCTTCCAAAGTCAGGGTGTCCAGGTGACCATCGTGGACGCCTCACGAGACAGTAAGCCCTGGCAGACTGCCACTGCTGTCCGCAGCAGAGGCTCTGAGGGAACAGCTGGAACAACCATCACGGAGGCCACGGGGCAGGCTGAGCGCAGCGGTTAGGAAGACAGATGTTGGGGTCAAACTGGGTCTGGGGGGTTGCTAAGTGTAACTCGGGCCCAGTTGGGTCTGAGAACAGTGCCTCCCTTTGGGATTAGTGTGAGGATTTACGAGCTAATACACATAAGCATTTAGCACGGAGCCTGGCACAGAGTAAGTGCTCAGTCGATGGTAGTTATCTTGGTTGCACTCAGCTGATAATTTGAACCCAAGGTGCTGTAATGCCAGAGACTGCGTTCTCGGCCACTACAATGCCACCTGCCCTGCTCGGGGGAGAGGGGGGGAGAAAGCGGCCACACAGCCCGGTTTTAACCCCCACCACAGAGTCTGGTGCGGTGCTTCATTAGAAGGCCAGCGTGATGAAAGGAATGAGGACGTGAGGGTGCTTTGCAATTCATACTCGGCGGGAACGGTGTGCCTGAGGTCTGGCCCTCTTCCTGCTGCCCCCGGCCTGGACTTTCCTCTTGCCGGTGGTGCCTCAGCTCCATGGCGGTGAGGGCCTCTCAGTGATTTGCTCAGGACGCAGTTTCCCCACTGGCCAGGGCCTTGTCTGCACACCCCGCCAGGAGCCTGCAGCAGTGCCTTCTCCAACCAGAGCGCGGAGAAGGAGAAGCCCCTCTGTGGCAGGTTAGAATGCAGACAGGACGCCTCAGAGCTCTGCCCGCACCCTGACAACGTAACAAGTCGGGGCCTTTGCCTCATGCTTTCCTAAAAATTAACAGGAGAGAAGCAGCTGACCACTCAGGGTAGATGATGTGGGTGCTCCTGTTGGATTGTAGGTTAGCAAAGGATCATGTGGGTGATTCAGGAATGAAGGGAGAACAGGCAGGCGACTATGAGAAAGAATTAATTTCATATTCTGGAAGGAGATGGGGAGTGTGTGTATGTGTGTGTGCGTGTGTGTGTGTGTGTGTGTGTGTGTGTGTGTGGTGGAGGATTCCTCACTTTGAAGGAATGGTGTTGACAAAGGGGACCTGTGAAATTCTTAAGCTGCTGGAATAGTAGTAACTCGGAACCAATGGCTGAACTGGGTGTCAGTGGGGAATGAAGATCAGATCCACTGTATTCATGGCCTCCCCCTTCAGTTAGCTCACGAGGCCGTGGTTATGCAGGAATCAGGAGAGGGTGTTGTGGTGTTCGGTTAGCAGCTGCTGGGAGGGACTGGCCAGGGGCTTGCCCTCTCATCCTTCTGGGCTGGCGCTTGCTCCCTCATTGTTACAGACCAGGTGGTTTTCATCTGTAGAGAAAAGGCTCCCAGCGGGACAGAGACCCCCTGGCTGGGCCCCTGCAGGGCCTCTGCACTGGGGAGGACCGAGCCCTTTGCAGCCTTCCCTGGACGGAGAGCTCGGAGGGCTCGCTGGGCTAAGCATTCTGCTGATTCTGTCCCATGTGAAATGGTGTTTGCCGATACCATCTGCATCGCTGTCTCTGACCTTGACTGCAGGAACGCTAGAGTCTCACCTCCGTTAGGCTCCTGTCCTGGGTTTGCTGGCTCTGTGCCAAGGAACACCAGATCAGAAAGGGAATTGAGAGCATTTTCTAGTTGCTGCGTTTCCCTAGATCTGCCTGCTTGTGACACAGCCGTCTCTGCACCCTCTGATCAGTGTTGGACCAGACATGTAGTCTCTTCCCCACCGCAGTGTCAGAACACAATGGACTGTACATTGGAAAGTACCTTATTTATACACCTGAATGTTCCAGTTACACAAATAAACATCGATTAAATTCTGGCTCCTGTGTGCTTCCTAAGGGGGTGCTGACTTGGCGGGAGATTGGGGGTGGGGGTGGGGGTTGTGTGGAACCAGCGTCCCTTCCCAGGTGCTGCCAGCCTTTAGAGGCGCGCTCTGCCCTGGGCCTTGGCCGCCTGCTCCCCCGGCTTTCCTCCTGCTCCGTGGCTGCTCCTCCGCAGCCACCTTCCTGAGCATCTCTTCTCCAGCCGGGCCCTTTGATGGTGGCTCTCTGCCCCAAGGAACTCTCCTGGCTGTTCTCACCCAGGCTGAGGGCTCCGATGGCCACACCCACGATTCAGGTCCCAGTTCCCAGCTCACATGTACCTACAAGGCTTCCTCATGTGGGCTTTGCATAAGCAAATCCAAACCTGGCCCTTTACTACACCTGCCCCCCCCCCCCCCCCTCAGTGTACTTCACCCCACCCCTGTTCATAAGCGCTTCACTCGGAGCAAGCTCATCAGGAGCCAGGCCTGCCCCTCCCACCTTTATTCTGACCGCCAGCCTGGCCGCCTCCCCTGCTCCACTCCGTCCTCTACCGCTGGGCAAGCGTTCTCCACTAGATGCCGACCCATGGCCTTGTCAGAGTTCAGCCTTGTGCACGGGGTTCCCCGGGCTGGCCCATACGACCCCCAGGCTCGGGGTGCCCTCACAGACACGCTGGTGCACGTTCCTTTTTGTTCCAGGTGCTCTGTGCTGGCCATCGCACATGCTGCTTCCTCTGCCGGTTTCCTTCTGCCCCGCCCTCCCCGGCTCCCCTCGGGCTGCCAAACTCCTGCTCACCTTCAGGCACACCACAGCAGCACCTGCTCTGGGAGGCCCATGTGCTCCCACCCCAGGACTTGGCTTTCCTGGCGAGACTGGGCCCTGGTGGTGGCGGAGGAGCCCTGGGCCTGAAGTCCTGTGAGCCGTCTGCCAGCCCCGCAGGCTAATGCTTGGACCTCCGTGCTGTTTGCCTTTGGGACGGGGATTCTGGCCTTTCTGGTCCCCAGGAACTCCAGGTGTTTATTTCCTTTTCTAAATCCTACAAAATTTGACTCGAAGCCATGAGTTTCCAAGATTGGCTAAGAACCCAGCATTAGTTACTTTCCAGGCTGCCGTGTTCTCTCACACCAGGAGCCCAGGGCCTGTGTGGTGCTGGGGACACGGTGGGCCCCAGTCTCAGTCCACCTGCTGAAGCTTCTCCTCTAGGCTTATGAGGTCCTTGGGCACACTCTGGGGAGGCCCCTGCTAGTGGCTCAGGACCCACCTTCCCTAGGCACCCGTGCAGCCATCTGCACCTGGTGACCTCCTACCTCAGGTCCTGACTGTCTTCACGCGTTTAACAAACACCGGAGTTCTTGCTCAGGGCTTGTCCCCATGTGGACACCGGAAATGCAGCAACAGCCCCTACCTTCATGGAGCTCATTTTAGGATAGGGTGGCAAACATGTGAAAAGCACGTTAGATGGGATAATGGAGCCAGGAGAGGGGGGCAGGGAGTGCTGCTGGGAGAGGTTGCATTTTTATAAACAGGGAGATCAGGGATGGGCTTGCTGCCGAGGAGGATGTTGCGAGAGGTTGGGGGGAGGGGGGGGGACAAGGAAGAGTTCCAGCAGATGCACAGCAAGTGTGAAGACACCTGTGTTTTTAAGGAGCTGCAGTGGTGGGTGAAGCAGGTGAGTGGGGAGGGGCAGTGGTGGGAAGTGAGGTGAGGGAGAGAGTAGATAATCCCCAGGCCAAGGCCACTGGCTTCTACTCTGAGTAAGAGGAGCTGTTGGAGGGTTTAGAGCAAGCATGTCAAACTCAAAGGCTAACACAGGCCAAATAAACAAGGTTTAAGTGTGTGGGCTGCAAAGAAAAACCCAAAAGCTTCACTTTTCACAGAAATATGGGTTTATTTTAGAGTCATGCTGAATACAAAGGGCTGAAATAATTGAGTAATTGTTAACATAATAGAACGTTACGTTCTATTATGTTAACAATATTTTTTATTGAACATTAACTTATCAGACACTGAATAACTGCACAAATTAATAAGTGTAACACAAACCTGTTTTTCTTGATCTCTGAAAGCAAAATATTTCCTCTTGCACACACCAAACAAGTCGGTACAAGACTAATGACAGGGCAATGGGCTGCTAAAATATTCGCTGCCAGTATTAGTGGAGAAAAATGGTGCGCCTGTGCGTAAGGCAGGTAAGGGAAATGAAGGCAACACGATGATCGTCATCAGTCGTTAGTGAATGTTGTAGTTCATTAATAATCATGTGCAACAGGATATTGTAAAAATTAAATTATAAAATATTTATTAAAACGTTTCTTATATAGCGTTATATTGGCTGACCCACAAAAAATATTTATTGTGGTCCACGAGTTTGACATGTTTGGTTTAGTGCCAAGGAGTGACTTGATCTAATGTTTGTTTTCAAAGAGTCACTTGGCTGCTGTGCTGAGAATAGGTGTCAGAGGAGAAGGGTGGACACAGGGAGACACGGAGGGGGAGCAGCAAATTTCAGGCAAGGGAGGACGGAGGCTCAATTCGAGGGGTGCGGTGAGAAACACCAAATTGTCGAGCTTTGCTGAAGGATCCTATATTGTGTAAGGGAGAAAGAGGAGTCCAGGACGGCAGTGTCATTGCTGCTCTGGCAACTGGCAGAAGGGCACTGCTGCCTTTCTGAGCTGAAGGCTGTGGGGGGACAGATTTGGTGGGCGGTGGAACAGAGGGAAGGCAAGGAGTTTGGTTTGGACAAGTAGGTCTGACGTGCCTGTGCAGCAGCCACGTGGGGAGGGTGTGGTCAGGGTGTGGTTATTCCTCTTCACAATGTGCTGGGAGACTGGCTGGGATCAGTGATGGAGAAGAGTTAGGTCTCCAGCCCAGTCTTTCATCGTTCTGGACGTGGGGATCCGCTTACTTTCAGCTGGGGCCACTCCTTCCTTTTAATGAGACCATCTTTTCCTCCTCAGGGGGCCCAGACAACCCAGCTCTTGAGCAAGGACACAGAACTGGGAGGAGTTTGTCTTCAGGTGGCCCCCACTCCCACCTGGCGGCTGCTAACTTCCTCCAGGAGAGGCGGGGGCGGGGTGAGAGGGGGTAAGGAGGAAGAACCCTAGAGGCCTGGGTGTTATTTCCTGGAAGAGAAGGGCGCCGTTGCCTTTTTGGTCTCTGAGGGAAGGTGAGGGAGGGAAACCAAGCAAGAGTGATGTTTATATCCTCAAATGTTATTCAGAGGATACGTGGAAAGCCCCACAGAATGGACCAATGGCCTGGCCAGGACAGTAAAAAAACCATCACCTCCTTATATTTACTAAAGGATATGGCTAGTTCTCAAAATCAACAAAAATCCAGGGAGCCCTCAAATGGAGTAAAACAGTGGGCTGCTTTCCTTAATGTCTTTTCTCAATTTTAACAAGAAACCTCAGCAGGTTTTTATTTTATTTATTTTATTATTTATTTATTTATTATTTAAAAAAATATATTTTATTGATTTTTTACAGAGAGAAGGAGAGAGGGATAGAGAGCTAGAAATGTCAATGAGAGAGAAACATCGACCAGCTGCCTCTTGCACACCCTCTACCGGGGATGTGCCCGCAACCAGTGTACATGCCCTTGACCGGAATCTAACCTGGAACCTTTCAGTCCGCAGACCGACGCTCTACCACTGAGCCAAACCGGTTTCGGCCCTCAGCAGGTTTTTAGTGTCAAACATGTCCATCAGACGAAAACTACATTCAGGGTAAATCCACTTGACTGAGGCAATTGAAATTATTCTTGTAGCAAAGATGGGCCCCTCTGATCTTGTCCATGCCACCTTGATTTCCCTGAGAGTCAAAGATTCTTAAACAGAGACATGCCAAGTCACTGATAATCAAACTTGGCTGCACATTAATATCACCCGAGGGACTTAAAATAAAAACCTCAATGGCCAGGTGACAGCCCAGGCCAATCACATCAGAATCTCTGGGGGTAGGAGTCAGGCATTGGCGTGTTAAAAA